ACACACACACACACACACACACACACACACACACACACACACACAGACACACTATTCATAACAGGATTTATGACAATTGAATCTGACATTGATTGTCACTGGCCTGGTGACGGTCTGATATTGGCAGGTGGCAGCATATGGCCCTGTCAGTTATGATGGGACCAAAGTGGACGAGAAATGAATACCAACAAGAGAAATTAACTGGAGACATTAACGGAACGGCAGCACCGCAGGCAGCACTGGGGCAACGTTCGAATGGCTGCAAATTATTAACTTTGAAGATTAACCTTGCCATCGGGTGAAAATGATGTCTCCAAGGGGCTTTTAACTTGAGAAGATTTAGAATTCAGGTTGACTAACTTTGAGATTTTTTATTTTAATTTAATTAGGCGAATAATGCTCAGAGCTTCTGTATATTCCTGACTGTAATCAGGTCGTTAGAGACAGAAAACAAAGCAATGTTTGCGCATTATCACGTTTAAACTAATCTAATTAGTTACAACTTCTGCTCATTTTAAACAGAATAATTACATACTGCAGTGTTTTTGACATACAATACCAGTTCTCCGTGTCTTTTTGAATAAATTAAATGAAAAAAAGCAAAGGAAAAATATAAAACTGAGGGTATGATGGCATACTTTCCACAGAAATAAATGCATTATGTCTATGTAGCTTGGTCTGTCATAATAAAACAGCTGCATGACTGTGATTAAAACAAAACACACACTTATCTTTAAATTCAATATCAAAATAGCTGTCAGATCTCCATCATTTAGGGGACTGTTAAAAATATCATCCACAACAGCTCTTTTGTGGTCTAACTGACGGCCTGCTGATGCCCCTGCAATGCAGTTTCACTTTGCTTTCAATCAGATATGAGAACGAGGTGCTAGATTCTTACATGCATATACTGTATGTAGATAAAGAAACAATAACATCAGCAGCAACACTGCAGAAAACATCTGAAACAGCTGTTTATTAGATATGACCCTAACTCTCAAACTATAGCGTAGAACCCGTATAATCCAAATTGGTTTTATTTTAATCTTTGAGATCAACAATACCGTAAAAAAGCCAAAAAATTATCAGATTGCCAAAAAAATCACATGAAAATAGGTTACGTGCAATTGATTTAAGCATTATTTAACAATATAATGATATAATATAAAATATATTGAAATATCTTTCAAAAGAATAAATGCTGTTTTATGCATCACTAAATTGCAATGTGGATGAATATATAAGTATTGAAGCGATGTGTAAACTTAAAGAGGCAGCCCTACAGGATGTTCGGTTGGAGCAGATGTTAAGTAGGTGGAGCACTGAAGTGGCAGGGCTCAGGTGCAGCTTGGCAGCCTGCCCCCATGTCGCACAGCAAAGAGGCGTGAATGTCACATGGGATGAATAAATCCCCCAGCATTCATTGCTGCTCATCAAGGTTCCACCTTCCTGCCAGTGCACACTGTCAAAATGATTATTCCGCCTGGACGTGAGGATGGGGACATTATCTTCACATACACACACAAACAAACAGCCCGTCTAAGGCTCACTGGAGGCAGCGCTGCTGTAGGATTTCAGTTTTCACTGCAGTGTGTTTTCTCACACTCTCTGAGAAGCCTCTCAGTCTCATTACCCTGATGCAGTATTTCTGTTTCAGCTGTGACAGAAAAAACAGATTTTAAATGCTCCCTTGTTGCAGTGATTCGCCATTTATCCGAGCACCAAACACCACACAAAGGAATACACCAGATGAAAAGCACAAAGACAAAGCGGTACTGACTTGTGACCAAGGTGCTTTAGGAAGTAGCCCAGGACTTTGAGGGCTTGGACCCGGATACTCTCGCTCTTAGAGGCCAGTAGCTTGCAGATCACCCTGTAACATGTCAAACACACAGCCATCCTGATTACATTTCAATGAAGACATTATATTACCTTAGATGTAGGCTAAAAGTAAAAAGTTCTTCTGTGTTTGTAGTAAACACCTGCTGCCTGATACTCAGTAAACAGCCTCAAAGTTAGCAACACGTGCGCTGACTGAGGCATTTTCTGTAAAGGAGTGTACTCAGAGGACATGCAAGTGATTCAAATGGGGAAAAACGCACCGTTTGCTGACTACCTCTCCAGAAACAGAGGATTTACCAGAGCAACCAGAACACCACCGTGTGAAGTTGTGCTTTAGGGGACTTAGCAGCTCAGTTAGACTCTTTGAAAACTCGTGCTGCTTGGCTGAAGCTACCTTTTGCATAATTCACATCAGTTTTGTAACTGAACATGTAAGCAATGGCTTAACCATGCAGGAAAGCATTTACGTTATGGTTGCTGTACAAAACGTCGCTAATCAGACAACTCATACTATAAAGACAAATGTTAAAACTGTTATTTTATACAATATAAACCAGAGAATAAAACTGCATTTTGTACATTTTAAATCTCTAAATCTCTCCCTGATTTAAAAACCTTCAATGCATACAGTAAACAGTAAAGGTCTAACCACAAATGTGAACAAAGTGTGATCAGATAGACAATGATCAGAAGCCTTTATGATAAAAAAAAGGTCTATTTCATGTTAGTAGGCATCAGATGTTGCATCACATCTTTATTTGTGTGTGTGGGCAGCGTTCACCTTATTCCATTTCTCTGGTCAAATGCAGGAATCATGGACGCTGGATGTTCAGACATAAGAGCCACCAACAGCTGGAGCACGTCGTGGATATTCTCATCCTGCCGCGAAAAGAAAGCAAAGTTGAACAAGTGAAGAAAAGGAGGAAGAGGGTTAAGGGGACAAAGAGAGTTGTAGGGGTGGATAAGGAAGGGGGGGGAGGGGGATTGCGGAGGAGCAGGTGGTATTTCAGAGCAAGAATAGATGTAATCGTTACAGAAGAGTACGTTCTGTTCAGTCCATTGTTGTGCCATTTTTCATGCTGTCACGGCGCCAAAGCTGACTCACACTCTCACTCGTTTAAGTGGACCATGACTCCGGCTCACAAATTATAATGCACATTTTGCTGCCAGCTCCACTCAACCGCTCTCACTGTCTCTCTGTCTCCCTCTTTTGCCCTCTCTCCCAGTGTCTCTTTGGCACAGAAGCATTTACCTCATGCATGGTCAGTAGGTAGTTGAGAATGCTCTGCAGCTCGTCCTCCTTCACGCCCCGGTCCTGTAAAATAACATACAAAAGGCATATTTCACCAAAAGACATTCATGGTCTTCAGTTGTTTTTACATTTTCTTAACCTCGGATGACTTCATTAATTCTGTTCCTGGTTGATGCATTTTGACCGGGAGGCAGCAACACCTTCACTCTCACGCTCTCACACACACACACACACACACACACACACACACACACGTGTGTGTAAATGCAGGAAAAAATCTATACAAGCAAAGAGGAACACAAAAGATAGTGTTTCATTCAGGTTGCTGATCTATAATGAGATTCTCCACACACACACACACACACACACACACACACACACACACACACACACACACACACACACACACACACTTCACATTAAGCCTGCAGCTCCCAGAAGCAGGAAAATCAACAGAGGACATAATGATAAAAAGCGATTTCTTGCTCCTTGAACTATGCGATAGAGATAATGGTAATCCGTTTCTCTCACTGTACCTTTAGTATGAGTTGTTTGAGGAAGAGAAGCATGAAGGCTCTGAGCGAGATGATCTCCTTTTGGGATGGCCGTGGTCCGTCTAAACAAACACACCCAAACAAAAGAATAATTTCCTGTTAAAAATCCATTTTTATGCAGGATAATGATCAGCTAAATAAGTCTGTGTTTCGGTCTGAGTGAGCCCTACTGTGTGCTGATATTATGTTTTATTAGACTTCCTGGAGAGCAGAGAAAAACATGTTAACACACACACACACACACACACACACACACACACACACACACACGATTGAACTGTAAATCACTGTCATTAACTCTAGAAGCAATTTTGCAATCTGAATATTTTATAGTTGTACTAATCTAACTGATTACAGTCAAGACATGACAAGTAACAAAAATGTGATTGATGGCCCAAATGATCCAAACCAAACAAGCGCCGTTATCCACTGTATGTACGCTAAAGCTCTGGCACTCCACCAGCTGCACAAAAAGAATCAAGCTAAAAACAAAAAGGCTTCGGATGCAGAACACGAGCAATTCATCATGTTGAGATGTCACTGCCTCTTTTTCAAAGGTCTGACGTCTTTTGCCATTCTTGAAGCGTTCAGCTACATTTGCCTGTTATTCATAACTGCTAGAACTCCTTTAACTGACCTTTAAACATGTGTTTTAATAGCCACAAAGAGCAACGGCTTTCATTCTGAAATTTGGCTGCAATTAGCACAAAAAAAAAATAAAAAACGCTTCCTTTTAACTTTTAACACGATGGCACATTAGCACTTTTAGGAGATGAAAACTGACCACTCAGATGCTGGCATTGCATTTTCATTGTTGTAACTGTTATTCATTCATTTTTTGAGGTGTTTATGTGTGCGCCAGACAGGGCTGTGATGAATCGGCTCAAAACGCCTGCCAAATAACTAACTAATGGAATGTGGTGTCAAATAGAAAAAGATGCATACGTTCAGATCAAAGCAGGAATGATACAACATTTTTGCTTTAATGATCCCAGTGGACACTGCAGTCAGATAACGTCGACTTTCTCTTCCCTACTTCTCCATCTTCCTCAACTGCTCTTCTACAGATGTCAATAACAAAACAAACAAGTCAATAAACCTCACAAGCTACCTGTTCTTATCAGCATTCTACATTCCCAACAGAGGTTTGTTAAATTCATCAAGGCAACAATAAACACTGATGATGCCCAGCTTATGTGCATTTGCCACCGCACACTTTGCTGTGTCAGGATGTTTGGAATTGACCTTTTTTTGATGCGAGCAACAAAAGGGTGAGTACTGCAACAGCAAACGGAGTTTATGGTAAGCTCAATAAAATGCACCTCGTCCTCTCAGAACGTTTAAACCGATATCTGACCCGTAGCTGCTTAGCCAGCGGAGGTCAAGTGAAGAGAAACATAAAAGACTGACGGCGTGTCCCGACGTCATTTTTGTCACGCTCGAATGGCCTTGAATCATTATCTGTCAAGCTGGAACATGTTGGCGGAGTGGTGACACTCACCATCCATCATGGTTACGCAGCAGCTCTGTGTCACACGCGGATGCATCAGGTGAACGTGTGCCAGTTAAACCTCCTTTAAAATGGCCTTTTAAGAGGATTTGAGCAAAGCTTATATTCATCTAAACCACTTCCCAGGGGCAGCTTTAATTATCGTCTTTCACTCTTTGAAATTAATTTTCTTCCTCTTGTGCTCCTTTTATCCCAATCTGACTCAACAGTTTTATCCAGTCATTGTGAAAAAAATGGTTCTGCCGTATAACGACAACCTGCGAGGAATGAAAGAGCACTTCAATAGCAATGAACCTATACGTGTTCTGGGTCTCTACATATGTGTGTGTTTGTGCTGACTTTGGGCTCAATGCAACAACTACACAAACGAATCGATTTGTTTAGAAATATAGTACATTTCTGCAGCTGTCTGATGTCTGTGTGTGCTCAAGATTACCAATGGACATGTTGGGCACACCACGGTAAACCAAATACATGCAAACTATTTTTTTTTTTTTTAACCTTTAAATACCCAGGCAGGATAATCCCATTGAGATTTTGAATCTCATTTAAAAAGGGGGCCCAAGCCAAGATGAAAGCATAAACGTTTCACACAAGCACAGAAACATAAAAACACAAATAACTTTAAAAAAAACAAAAAAAACATAAAAAGATCCACATAAAAGAGACAACGTACTTAAAACAAATCAGCATGTTGCATCAACCAACCAAATAATTATAATTCAGTGTTATGATAAGTACATTCAGTGATCAAATGATCCTGATCCTGTTTTTAAATCTTACATGCTGATAAATAAGTTTAAAATGTCTCTGTAGCTCACACCAAGATGAGGTTCCAAACACTTTTAAAAGCGCTTCACCACAAACGGTGCGGGTTCTAGGAGCGTCGTACCTAATGTCTCCACATGATCGACGGTGACAGCTACTGATTTGTGTAATATGGGCTTACAAAGAAAGATGCACCAATGTTCCATTCTACGATTGTGGAAACCCCAATCAGAGACAAAATGTAACGCAGCATGATACGCTTAATCTAACATTTTAAACAAAGATGAATTTGCATATATAACATATCAACATTATCAATTGCTGATCGAAGTGCCGCTTGAATTCATTTTTTATTTGCAGCAATTTACAGCATTTGTTGCTATAGTAGAAACTAAACTTCTATAGAAGTGCTTTTTGTAAGATACTCGATATAATGGTTAAAGAATAGGTATTCATAAGCTGATACTCATTCAATCACATTATTTACAGTGACAATCTCCAGCTGGCTTCTTTGAACTTGAGAAGGATAACATTTTGGTTGTCAACATTTGGAATAAGTCTCAATTAACAGAGGCAGCGCAGATTTTTAATATAAATTGTAAATAAGATAGGACCTAATACCGCCCCTTGTGGGAGACCATTTTGTGTTAATTGAAAGTTTAGATGTTGGCCTGTGGATGTCCGCTCTTCAATAATAGAATAACATGTGCTGCCTTCCAAACTTCTGTCATTTCACCACCGTCTACAGTCGGGTTACTAATGGAAGTTCAATGTTTAGCAATATTCTCGAGCAGCGATGGTTCTCTACGGGGCTCGATCCCAGCAGTCGAACGGCAATATCGCCTTCCAGAAAGGAAACCAGGCTGACACTTTATTAGAAATTCTAACAGCTCCCTTGGATCTGCCAATCACATCTGTCTGTTGCCATGGCAACATGAGATGCGTAATCACAGTCGGCGGAGGGTCCCCGGGTTGATTAAAGTTAAAGGCCGGCTCCGACCTTTCTGGAGCTCTGGCGTGAGGCCACAGTGGTTAATACCATTCTCTGTGTTGTGTTTGGAATACGACGTGTTCTGTGATTGCACTTCTTTCTCAAATAGGTCTCACGGTTGGATGTGCAACACAAATAACACAAATAAAATGGATTACTGTTAACAGGGTAAAAAAGAAAATACATTCTGTTCTTCTGCAACGGTGTCATTCACTCTCAAATGAACGAATGAACAAAAGGAGCTGCTCAGCCTTGCTCGTGAGCAAGCAGACAGCTGCTGTTAAGGGAGAGTTACCAACTCACACCCACCGAGTGCATGTATGTGTCCTGTGTAGCATTAACGACCACTTTCTTTCTCGCATAATCGTCATGTTGAAACGATGCAAACAGCATTCTGTATATTACGTTATTTAAAGCAATTACCAATGATTTGACCTGACATTTAATAAGGTGACGATACAGTCAGCTAGCTATTCAAGTCTCAGTGACTATTGATTTTAGGTCTGGACGTTGTTGTTTTCAGCTGTAAGCTGAAACAGATTTGACAAATTTAAATCCTCTAGCACAGTGACTCATTTTAAAAAAGCTAGTCTTCATTAACCGCACACAATTAAAAGCTATTCTTATTTGCTGCATGTAGCTATGGCTACTGAGTCAAACGCTCAAAAACTATTATTAGAAAGTGTTGGGAGTTCAAACCCTCCGTACTCTCTCAAATCTGCATAGCTGGCAAATCGCTGCGTGCTTGTCGGATATTCAGAACGGGACAGGAAATGGTCGGACACAGCCCCTTCAATTCTGATGTCAGAAAGGTGTTGGGGGGGAGGGGGCTCCACACATTGTTCGGCCACCCGACACCTTTGGTTGGAGCTTACGACACCTTAAATTGCACACAGGTGTGAATGTGACAGTGAATGCGTTGTGTCGTTATGTGGTAGCTCTGTAATGGGACAGCCTCCAGCCTCCCTGTGACCTAACACGAGGCGGATGGATATGTTAGAGATCGACGTTAACACTATGTGAAAATAAAAATGCCTTGTTAAAGTATTCTGAAGGCCGTGAGTACTGTTTGAGACAAATAAAGACAGAGAAAGAGAAGAGGGGCTGGAGTGTGCAATGTCTGAGAATTAAAGGACAGAAACGGAGAGAGAATAAATCCAAACAAAGTACTGTCTAGGCAGATACACTCGGTCAGGAATAGTGTGTTTAAATCTCTTGTGGTGATCATTAGAAGTGTAAAAGGGACGGATATTTATCACAGTGAGAATGGCTTTATGTTTGCAGATTGTGTGCAGGGGTGAACCTACCAAGACCTTTGGGGCTGATTCCACTGCAGTCCAGCGGGTTGATGGCCCAGTAGTAGTACTTGAGAGTGTGCATCAGTTGCAGGACGGTACCGACACGGCGGATGGTGGTGTAGATGGTGGCGGTGCCGATGAACTCGGAGGACAGGTATGTGTAGAGGGATAGCTGGACCTGAACACACAAACATCCGTTTACAGAGTACATATACAGTAGGTACATACAAATACACAAACACACACAAAGGTTGACGGACGAATACAAATTGTCAGACACCTATTGGGGAGATACAAATGATTGAGTGTGTTGTTTCTGGTGTTCCAGCAAAAGGCAGTTTTATTGTGAAAAGACAACCACAGGGGAACGAAAGGAATCCAGCCCCCAGCGAAAGCTCCACTCTTTTCTGCTTTGTGTTATTTTTGATGTTTCTGTGCCTGAAGCCGTCAAGCATCTGAGGAGCTCCTTACGCAACGCTGACATTTAAGGAGGGCGCTCTCCAATTGCGTATTTGCTCCTTCCCTGCCTGCTTCTGTTCTCTTTTCCCTCTCCTAATATACCTCTAACCAAGCCTCTCCATCGACCATACACAGATTCCATTCTGCTGCGCGCTCATCTCGGACCTCATTACAGTGACCACGACGCTGAGGACCAGCCCTAACGAGGTAGCGCTGGTTAAGCGGATGAAATAAGCAGAGTGCCGCGGCCTGACCATGGCACATCACAGCTCATCTAGAATGGAGAGCGCACTCAGCTGGCTTAAATTGGCCTTCATTACATTGCTTTTCACGCATCGAGCTGATGTGTTTTGCCGGTGCGATTTTACAACAGGTTTCGGCTGCAGAAAGGCTTGAAATTCCTTGATCATAGCGCTGCTGCAAAGTAGCGTGCAACAAACACTTCTCCATCTCTGAGGGGATTATGTTCACCAGAAGAAAACAAGCTCTTTATTTTCAGTGCGAGCAAGGGAGACGCTGCGAGATGTGATTTCTTCAAGTGTTTCCTGTCCTGAAGATGACCAAGGTTATTCTTGCCAATAATTAATGTGATTATAATACCACGAGAGGTGGAAAATAATAAAGCTCTGCGGGACACAAAAATGGTAGAGCGGAGGTAAGATTAAAGGATTACTTGTTTTTGTGTGTGTGTGTTGCTGCTTAGTACATTAATGCTTGTCTTGTTTGTCTCATTATGGCCCTGCTGAGTTGTGGTAATGTTTACTAGTAATCCACTTCCTGTATTGGCCCTCAACTGAAGTTAAAAACCCAATAGGCAATCACATGGTCCGGCCATTTCGCAGTGTTTGGACGTGTCACCTAAGGTTGATATGTTTACGTTGTGTTGGATTCTGACTTTCACACCCTCTGTATTCTCTTGAGCTGCGGCAGCTGCTCATTTCCTCCGTCTTAACTCCAGCACGCCCTGGAAAACGATACTGTTGCACCTAGGAGCCAATCACGTCCCAGGGTCAGAGGGAAGAAGACAGGGAGTCAGGAAGTTCTGAAAATAATAGAGGCAAGAGCTGACTGGCCCCGCGGGAACGCCAGGAACACTCACATCTAGTTCAGAGTGAGACGGAAACAAGGAACTACACATCTCTCTCCTGTCCTGGGGTCTTTTCAAATGTCACTTTCTCTCTTTGTTTCCTTCGTTTGCCTGTTCTGTCCTTTGCCTGCGTGATGTGCCAGCTCCTCCCTCCGTGTCCTGTAACCTCCTTTGTTATATTATTGTAAAGGGCAATGGGCACTAACATGTCAGTCCCTCTTCGTGTTATATTTCTTGCTTGTCTCAATTTCTCTTGCATTAAAAATAAATAACTCCCGAGCACTTCTTTTTCTAATTTGTCTGAGTCTGTGTCTATCACCCTATTAATTCTCTCATTCAGAACATCACCTTCTGGTTTTTTTTTTTTGCAGCAAGGTCATGAAAACACACACACACACACACACACACACACACACACACGCACACACACACACACATATTCAGTAGATGCACACATATAAACACACCTTGGCAGGGGTGTGTATCCAGATGGCAGCGTTGAAGAGGACATGGTCACAGAGCTGTTTGAGGAGAGGCGCTCCATGAGGTAAACCATCCAGATACTTGGCGAAGGACAAGAACTGTTCAAGCACCGCCCTGGTGATGTGGACTCGTGATGACTGGATAGAAGACAGGAAATAGAAACTCTGATTTAACTGGACTGAATGGTCACGCAAAACCATTTTTTTTGCTAAATAGCATAGTTACTTTAACGCTTAACTAAAAGAGTGTCTACATACAGTACTGTATATCATAAATATACCTTGATAATAGGTTAATGAATATCGTAAACTGTTACAAAGGATAACTGCACCCATACAGTTTTTTTTTTAAATAAGTAGAAATCTAAAAATAAGGGTTGTTAAACGACCGTGTCAGGAGATGCTGTCGGCCTACAGGACAGCCCCTGTAACATGGTAACATGGTGCCTGTGGAGTCTAACAGTTGTCAAAGGTGTTAAGTATTTCATTTTACACCAGGAACCGAGTCTCTACTGTGTGTGATCTCTGTTTATTTGCACATCTGTGACATGCTGTTACTTCCTGTTGCAGCGCGAAGATACAAGACTTTATCATCTATTTGTTGAAAATGATGTTGAAAATTCATCCTGTGCAGTTTTTTAATCAACTGTATGGTCAATTGGATGTAGTTTGCGGTGCTGTTGAACTGTATTGCGTTATACAGATAGATGTTTATGGTATTTTATCTGACCTCAATGATAGAAATGGGCTGGACAATATAATAGAAACACCTGGCTGTACCCGATAAACAAGCAACTGAGTGTACAGCGGATAAACATGAGCACAAGGGCAATCGAAACATAATGCATTATAAAACTTAGGTCATGGTGAAAATCAAAGCTACTTGCCTTTTTCACCCAACATGAAATAAATAAGGCATGCAACACAAACTCTTCGTTCCTGACCTTCTCAAGCAGGTATCCAATCACTAGAAAGCCTTTCCCTCCCAGCATTTGCTCCTGCATCGCAACGGAGCTCTTCAACAGCTCCACCAGGAACGCCAGCAGAGTGGCACTGCAACATACACATTGTTCACACATTTCAGTAACACTGCATGCAAATCATTGATTGATTGCTACGTGTTTCTCTAGTGGAGTATGTGAGTTAAAGAGGAAAGAAAACCCGGTCCATGTTTGCTTCACCTCTCCCCACGCACACTTTCTCCATCATTTATCTTTCATAGGAAGCCTGTTATTTTTTTTGTTTTGTTCGTTTGTTATCACTGTCTTCCTGAGGATATTTGACAAATAGTTGCGGATTTCTGCTAAACACGATGTGGAGATGCTGCCTGATATGTAACTGCATTAAGGCGTGTGTGATGGAGTGGTATCAGGATGATCCTGGAGCCAGAAGAACGCAGACACTCCAACGTTCTAAAAGCAGCTCATCGCTCCGGGGAAAACCACATAACACTTATTTCTTTCACACTTTCATGCCCTGCTCTCTATAATCAGTTATTTCTAGCCTGTGGCAACATTGTAAGGTTGGAAGATAATTATTCTCACACATAGAAGACTCATCTTTTTACCTAATGTAACTTTTTTAACTTCTTTAATCGTTCCCTTGTTTGTTTCTGGGTTCAACCGCAGTATATGTTGCAAATTAAATCCCCAAAAAATGCTTTTTTTTAAAATGTTTTAGCTTATTAACTGTAATAGAAATCATAAACCGTCTATATCAGTGCAGTCCAGGCAGCCACTGAGTTCCAGTTATTTTTTTGTAGACCACTCACCAGACTGTGGTGTCCACGCTGCAGTCATTGAGCTGTTTGTAGTCCAGCTGAGCGAAGAGAGGGAACAGGACCTGGATGCCTCCTATAGAGTGGATGGCACTGTGGATGGAGTGGGTAACAATGGCCTTCACGTCCTGTGGGATGGAAAAGGACTGTTAGTGCTGACAAAGACTATACTGTACTATACTGTATGTATGTTCACAGATAAAATCACACACACTCACTGCTAATTAAACATGTCTCATGTCAGACTTACAGTAGAACATCTACTGCAGATACAAATAAACCATTACTACAATTTTGAATTCTACCAGAATATGGGATTTGAACCCAGAATATACTGTTGTTGTATTGTCTTATTGCCCATTAGCTGCCTTTCACACGTCCAGATTAACATCTATTTGAAGTTTAATTGATGATGCTCTAGTGCAATGAAGACCCTCTTTTGGTTTTCAGCAACAACAAAAAAATAAATAATCGAAAATGTTATTAATTATGCCAAAGCTCAGAATCACCATAGTGCTGTAAATGCCACCTGTTTAACTCTAAACCTGTCTTTTGCTGTCTTAACTCGCTGAACTGAAGATGATTGCGGTACCTCTGATTGAAATAACTATACAACTAGAATACAATAAGACTCACCTGCTGCCTTTGTATTTGTGATTACAGTAATTGCTGCCTGAATTGCTGGCGCAGGAGGACAGTGTTACAAATCAAGATGCGATACAAAGAAAAGCCACTTTTAGCAACCAGCCTTGAATAGAATACACTTGGAAAGAAATCTGCTGGCATTCAAAAAAAAAGCAAAACGAAATAGTGAAATTAATAGCTGAGAGCAAAAGTGTCTTTCACAAGGTGCATTTTATATTTTCTCTTTCAACCAACATCTGTATTGTCCTTCTGTGATAAACCCCCGATCTACTACAAGTGTGAGTCAGACTGAACTGCCATTTCATACATGAATTGATGAACAACTCATGAGATTTGGCATTGATTCAGAGCTCGGTAACCAGGTCAGCGACGAGCAGCCACTCAGAAGAATCCCGGCGGACTGACCTGTAGCATGAGCGCGTGTGGAGAGTGGACGAAGATGGAGGAGTTTTCCCTCGGCGACGACTCCAGGCAGAGCTGGGCATCCGTCGCCTTGGCGTTGTAGGTGAAGGAGATTGAGTTGGCCAGCTTGCTATCGTACAAAACCTGCTTGTGGTGCTCAGCCAGGTGGATGTCACTCTCTGACTTGAACTTGAAAGTGCTCTGCAGTGATGGAGAAAGAAGATGTCAAAGAAAGAAAATTATTTCCAGAGAGACAAATGAATTGTCCACAGACGAGAGAAGTGTGAGTGTGAGTCTGTGTGTGCACGTTCAACACCCAAAATGGAGTCTGTTTAATTGCAGCATGTGTAAACAACCCAGCATTAGCTTAATGAACACAGCGCTAACCCAGGCACTAATTCAATTAGCACAGAATAAGAGATGGCAAGGGCCAACGGATGAGTGGGAGAAAGGCTCCCGGAGCTCCGAATGTATCTCCTCTCTTTGTAGTCTAACACGGATATATTTGTGTTATTCAATTTCTGACTATTACGTTACATTTGTCCTGCAAATAACACAAAATTATACCTTTTCCACAAGCTGCTGTTGTTTATCTTGTGGAAATCGAAAATACCTTGGACCGTTTTCCTTGTAATTTTTGTCCTTGAAAGAATATTAGCTCCTCATACAGTAATACTGAAATAGACTGACACATTTGGACTGGGGAGAACTATAAAGAATTGAATTGAATGCTGTCTCCTCAGCTCAAATACAGAAAAATGATTAATACCATTGACATTGTAGGAAGTCTAGGCCGCACTTTGTGTGTGTGTGTGTGTGTGTGTGTGTGTGTGTAAATCTTTTGGCTGCATCTGTCTGTGTGTTCATATGTCCTGCAGCGGTGCTGATCTACGCATGAAGCCCCGCAGATGAAAGGCCAGCGAGTTGCTCTGCCGCCCTTTGCATCAGCTCCAGGTAAAAGGGGCTCCTCTCCCCTTCCGAGCGGCCGGGTCCCCAGGCGCCTTGCTCAGCCTGACTGCACAGGAAAGCCCCGGGGCTGCTCACAGACCTGCAGGCCCGTCTTCTTCTAAACCTTTCATCTGAGGTCTGCTGAAGAAAACGTGCCCGGAGCAGTTTGAACCACGCAGCTATAAAATTTCCCTCTGAAGCAAAGAGTGCGCTGAACAATGGAGACGACGTCTGAAGAAAAGAGCCCCTCCACGGAGCAACATCCTTATCTCAGCCCAGCGAATGCACTTCTACTGTTTTCTGGCACTGGCTTAGTCTTCCTTCCATTTATCAGGTTCAAATGCGACACAAAAGGCTTACTTGTAGAAACCTATCATCTGATTCTGAAGCACATTTTCCAAACTAACACCTCACATATTTGGGTTGCAACGATACCATCTCAGAAAATACGGTATTACACTATTATTATTATTATTATAATTAGTAGTTAAAATTACCCTTAAATGACACTCACTCACTTATGTCAGTTTTCTAAAAACAATTAATAAGCAACTATACATACAGTAGTATAATAACGGTCAATTTTCATACCATACTATGAAACCACTGCAACCCTGACACCTACACACACATTAATGCCAGTGGAACATTATCTACACGAGTAATCAACGGTACTTACGCGGTAGGCCAGCATGCCTGCGTTAATATTTTCCGACTTTAGAACGTAATACTTTAGTGAAATTTAAGAGCAGATGAGCGGTGTTAGAAAGTGTATCTATTAAACTTTTAAGAAAAGCTTATCCATTAAAAGTAAGCTAGAATACTGCAGCCATATGCAAGGTAATCAATCACAAACACAAATAAATTGCTCTTCTGTGTATTTTTCAAGGTCAGTGAGCCCTCTGGACAAAAAAAGCATTACTGAATGTGAAATTAATACACTTATTAAGATGCACAATTTTTGCAGTGTAAGCCCATTTATTGTGGTGCATTTATGAAACGTGGGTGTGTACTTGTGCATATGTACAGCTGTAGCTGTGGAACTGTGAGCTTTTAATGTATGTCGCCGTGCTAAACGACGGAGGCAGGTAGCTGAGTGTGTGCAAGAGATTTGCTGACTCTTTAAAGTATTAATGGATGCACGGATCCTTTAAAATTCCAACATTAGACAGGCGGCGGGAGAAGCAGGCAAGAGTGAAGGAAAGTGCACAATGTAACATACGTGAAGCTTTACGAAGGTGCGCTTAATCACATGCTATTCCTCACCTGGTTACACAAGCACACACAGAGGAATGAAAGCGACAACTCCCGCCTTTGTAACACCTGACAGCTGCAGATACCACACTGGCCTGCAGTGATAACAGCACACACACACACACACACACACACACACACACACCCTTTCACACACACTTCTATTCCATTCTGCTCAGACTCCACACACATTGCTGAATGACAACCAGTCCTCCAAAATGAGTCCTCAACATATGGCAAAACTAAATCATCCATCTTATTGAGGTTATCAGATGATTGAATAACTTGTGCGTACAAATCTAGGGTTGGGTATCATTTGATATTTTTCATGACTTTGAGTTTCAGTACTGATACCAAACAGCCATGCAAGAGCTTTGCCTAAATACAATCTGAAACTGATCACAGAATAGCTAAACAATATAAAAACTCCACCGAGACATTTGATGCCAGCTTTTAGGACAGTTATTGATATTCTTTCAGTCAGCGCCAAACTGAGGGGACGTTTCTCTGAAAATTAAAATGCACAGAACAAAAGACCTTTCAAAAAAAGTATTATAAAATCGGACAATTACACACCAGACAAATGTGCACGCAAAAACACACACATGCATACAATGCAGGTGTCCAGATAGACACTCCACACGGTCCAATAATTAAGTTGCGGCCAGATTGTTGGCAGTGCTCCGCAATGAGGAAATTTGGACTGGATGATGATGAGTGCAACCAGCGACACACACACACACACACACACAGACACACAGACACAGACTAAAAAACACAAAACTTTCTTTTACCCATAGCTCACACTGGAAAACAAGATGTTATAGTCCTGCTTCTGTCGTTAGGAGAGCATGGAAGTGCTGAACTGCACACATGTACAGACATTCAGTACACACAGCGTGTCAGCCATCATGAGCCGCGTCGAGCGAGAAGACCTTGAACACCCTTACTGTGCTGACGGCTTGTTCAGCAGAGCGAGCAGAGTGGCTGTCTGCTTTTCGCTGCTCATTACTGAACAGTAACACTGACAGTGGATGAGACCGAGAGGCTGCGTACAGCTACGCGCACACGTATGTATATACTGTACAGCACAGATTAGACTCCGGGAGCAGATTGTCATATATGCGCATCCTTCTCCGCGTGAAGTCGTGGGAACATGGACGGGCCTCTATTCGCATTAAGACAGGAAGCTGTGTGACACAAGCCGAGTCCCACTGGCGCTCTCCTTTAGTCGACCGGAAAAACCCGCACACTCATCATTACGGTAGCGGCACCGAGGCCAGCGGCTTTGAAACAACTGAGCCATTTAATGGTCTCTTCTGGGCATCTGAGAAGCCCATTCTGCACCGTGCAGAGAGGCAATCATCTGACTGATCAGCCACGGGAAACTGTGGGCTGTGACAGAGAGAGGAATCAGTATTCATGGCCGAGAAACAGCAAACCCCAAGCATGCGATCATTAGGAGGAACATGAGAGGACTCTAGCTTATAACGTGAGAGAGAGAGCGAGAGAGAAAGAGAGAGCGAGAGAGAGAGAGAGAGAAAGAGAGAGAGAGAGAGATAGAGAGAGAGAGAGAGAGAGAGAGAGAGAAAGAGGATGATCTGTGCTCTACCTCATGCAATCTTTGTGTACTCTGCATGTTTCTCTATTAGTGTCACCTTATCAAGTCTTGGTAATTAAAAAGTCAATTCCTGATTCAGTGTGTACCCTTTTTAAGGAGCTTTGGAAATACCAGCAGCTGTTCCCAAACATCAGCAGCCTCAGATATCCGTGCTGTCTCATGGTGCTGAAATCTTGACAGGTTTGGACACCTTCATAAACAAGCTATAAGTGGCCCGAGGCGCGCGCACGTCTGCCAAAACAAGAATGCAGACAGCTGGCAAGGTGTTGCGACATCTCAGCCGTCTCCGCTGGCCAGGCCAAAAGGCAGAGCTGGTGATTTCTAAAGGGCGTGATGCCTCATTTGAATAATTCTATAGTGCGACAGTAACGCAAAGTTCTGTCTGTTTAAAATCCACCCTCGCATACTACAAATTCCAGACATCAATCTGTGATTTCCCGAGAGGCCTTTTGTGATTGTTTAGTAATCTACTTTTTATTGTGCCCCTGTAATCTCAATCTGCTTCATCTACTCCAACTTTATTTGGTGACAGGGAGGCATTAAAAGAGTGCAGGTGTTTAAATCTAGGCAGCCAATAAGATTTCAGAAAATGAGTTTGTCACGTCAGCCACGGCCCTCGCTCACAACATGTCTTTCAGCTGCACGACATTATGATCCATTGTTGAGAATTTATACATATATATACACAATAAAGCACAATAAAGATATTTCGATGGATAGATAGATATATAGAGATGTATCTGTCTCTTTTGAAACTGAATTAGAAAAGCTCACCGATAGCGATGAGGTTCTGGCTGACAGGAGCAGAATTATTAGAAATGAAAAACGTTCCTGCACCTATTAGATTACCCAGATGAGACAGCCCCCCTGTCAAAAGCTTGGTTTTTGGCAATAAAATATGTTGCATCAAGGTTACAGCATAAGCGTGAAACTGTGGTTGACATATTGATTACCTCTGCCTCTTGTAAACAGAATTTCTCTCTGTATTCTTGCTGGAAAAAAAAGGTTGTTGAGAGCGTCGCAAAGTAGACTTTTGCTTCACACATTAATCCTAAAAAGGAAGCTTCTTTCATAAGCTGCACTCCAGTCCAGTGATTCCCAACCATCAAATCAAATCAAATGAACACAATTGGAACATGACGAGTGGTGTTGATGAAGGGTTCTTCAAGCGCTGCTCTGGCCTACGCAAAAAGCAGTACACCAATTTGTCCTAAAACTCATGCTGCAGTACTAATGCAATATAAGAGAGGGTCCACGGGATGTGAAACCTACACTATATACATCAACTGACAACAAACACTCAAGCTACCAACCCTGGCGCCAATACACGGGCTATCTCTGTGTTTGACAGCCCGAGAATGATTGATGGCCTCAACTTCTTCTCCCTGAACGGGCAAAGACAGCATTAGGTAACAATGAAATCCTCAGGTAGCCAGGATATTCTTCCTGCCAAATGACATTGATACGCAGTAAAGCGTCCAGAGAATACACAGTACGGTGGGTGATGAGGAAGTACGTGCACGCTGTCTCACCTTGTATCCTGGGCCAAGCTGGTGGATGGCAAAGATCTGAGCTGGGTTGAGAGCTTCACTAAAAACGTAAATGGCTCCCAGCTGACCGCAAAACACCCTGTTGGCATCTGCCGTCTCTGATGAGCCCAAGAAACACTTGTCGTAGCTCTGAAAAAGGGCACAACACGAGAAAACATTAGCTATCATATCAAACATTTGTGATTCTCAGAGCTGTCTTGCAAAGAGAGTTTGGAAGTACAGGAGCGGACACTGTTTACACTAAACACGAGAACTTCTAGATCGTGTGCTTGTCAGTGTCAGGACACATTAACACCTTTGAGAGGAAAAGATTAATTCAAGTTTGTTGATCATCACATTTTTAATAAGTCGTCTCAAGAGTTATTAATTATTCATTTTTAATCTCTGGTCATAAATATGTGGTATTCCGCAGTGAATGGTGAAAAGGCGGATGAACTTTTGATAGCTGCTCGCTTCTAATCGCTCTGTTCACCTTTGCCATCACCTGCTATAACTTTCTGTCCACTCGCCTTTCATCTACTCCATCCCTCCGTCAGCCTTTATCACAATGAAATCTTTACGCTTCTGCTTCTTTTGAAGTGATGAAATATGTTGTATCTTCAGCCTTCTGGACAAAACAAACCCTGATAGCATCAACACATTTCCAGACCTGTTCTTTCACTCGTGTACTGTATGTTATGTTTCTTGCCTTCGGGTGAGCTGTGTGAACTATCAAGACATTTTAGCCCCAAAGGCCAAGGGATTACTTTCAGAGGATAACACCGGCTCTTGGTAATTGCAGCAATGTCAAAAGCGATCAGGGAAGGAAGTGTAATACAGGCACTGCAGCCACTGGAGAGGTCGGGCTACCTGTCCTCTGCTCAATGGAGAAGTTGGAAGTTGGAGTTTGGGCGAGCTCTGCCCCAGCTGACGAGCGCAGAGGGCAAACCTCAAACCTTTGCCAATATCACGACAGGAGGGAAGTGTAGCGCCAGACCAACACCGGGATTTTTTTGGAGCAAAACTTTTGAAAGCAACTTCTGATTTATAGATTTTATTTTGTTGCAGAAAATCAAATTTGAACCAGAAGCAGTTGAATAAGAAACTCAATATTCATAACTGACTGCACCGCCGTCTCCTTCGTCCTCAAGAGGGCATTTTCCTGAAATGTTAATGTAGTTATTCTCCGTAAAGATCAGTGCATATAACAACACAATGCCTCTGTAATGAGCCAGTATCTTACATCATTGGTGTTGACGTGCCAGGCCATATCACCATAGGAGACCAGCTGACCGTTGACATAGCAGCGGATCTCGGAGTTCCTCCAGCGGTTGTAGATGTGGACGATGCTGATCATGTACCACTGGAAAATACAAAAACAGACTCAGAGAGAAACAAGATCACAAATCAAAACCAAAAACAACAAACTAAAATGCAACATTGCAGCAAATTAAAGAATGAGTACTTTGTTTTATATTTGAACAATACAAGTGGGAGATTCTCTGCAGAACTATTGTGTTCATTGACGTGTTCTGATGTTTTTGATGTAAACAGTTTTAATTGTTTTTCCTTTTTATTATGTTTTTAAATGTCTTAATGCATTTCTTTTCCTTATGTATCTCAAAGGTATTGACTTGCCTTACATTGTGTGTACTGTTTATTGTTTTTGTAAATTATTTTGTACATTGCACTTTTCATTGATTCATTATATTGACTAAACTACTAAAATGTGTTGTTTCACCTTTCCACCTATCTAATGCAATGATTCATTTGAGACATTTTAGTACAACTGTTTGTTTGTATCAAGATGTCAGGCGTGGGTAAACCTCATGTCTTTGCAATATTGAGAATGCATCCTCTATAAGAGGGTTAACCAGCATGAAAGATTACAATGCGTTAACGTGATACATTCGCCATTAATAGAGTGCATGTGTGTACGTGTACACATGTGTGCGTGTCTAGAAAGCATCTTCCCCGGTGACAATACACACAGAGTCCCCGGAGACTGAAATGGGGAGAAAAACTGCAGTGGGGGAGGAGGAGAAGCTAGAATTTTTTTGCTGGTGTATGCATCATTTAGAAGTGGACAATACCCCATGTGGATGCAAGCACACACACACACATTAACACATGCACACGGTGGACAAAATGCTGTGAGACATGGTCACTTATAAATTGATCAAATGGAACCACTGGGAACTTTGTTAGGCAGTGCAGAGATTCTACTGGGTCAGCAAATACTGCAGAAGGCCATCTCATCAAGTGAACGTGTGTTTATGTGTGCATGCAAGTGCGTGTGTGTGTGTAGAACAGTAGCAGAATGCTGACAATGCAGTAGTGGGGCTTAATTGACAGGCCTTATGTACACTCATCAACACTCCTAGTGAGTGCAAGGATGGAAGGAGAGAGCAGCGACACACTCCGGGTGCTCTCTCATCTAACAAGTGGCACAGGGTTACCAAAGTCTGCACTGACTAGAGATGCTTCAGTTGAGTGATGTGGCCGGTGTGTGCATTCTTACCTTGCGGGGTTGGAAATCGTATTTCACACAGTGCTGAAAGCCTTTTCCTTTTGACTTCAACGACGTGACGATGAGACAGTTCCCCACAAAGTGAGCGGAGTAGCCTATTCCTTTACTGGTGCGGAAGCTGCGGAGGAATCAGACAGAGTTACACTAATGTCAGTTTGTTATCAATTCAAGATCTGTGTTTGAAAAAAATACCTATTTATGTTAAAAAATAAATTAAAACTAATTATGGTACTCCTTAATAAATGGTGCAACATTTGAGCTTCTGTGTGACTAAATCACATTCATCACTAAGTTTCATTTGTTTTGAGTCAAAATGAATGACTCCAGTTTTTTATTTTGGATTTATAAAAGTACAGCAAACATTTGTCAAATGAATTACATTTCGACCATGTCTGGTTTAACTTGTCAGACCAGCTGTATTGTAAATAATTGTTTTTGTTTCCACTGCAACTGCAAATGGTAAAATTGTACCGACAGAAATCCTCTCAACCAAGACGCAAGCAAGGCAATCGCACTGTTTAAGCCAATACCAGTCATAAAAAGTATTTTCTTTGCAGCAGCACGAGGGGGTCCCAGTTCACAGGCTTGTGGAAAAACACTCCTAAACCCCTTCCCCTCCATTTCCCCCAAATAGTGTTTCTCTTCCCGCACTGCTAACCTCCACGTAAAAACTCCGGTCTCGCGGCTAAGCTTCTTCACGAAAACAACAACACATGTATCGCTTCTAAAATAGGCACAGAAGGATCACACACAGAGCAGAGCCAGAGAGCAGATATAAATCCCTCTCAAGTGAATCCCTGGTGCATGTTAGAAGAGAACATGGTGCGTTATCGCGGCCTTCATGCTGCTGCTTCTGCGGCCACTATGAGACAGGCGGCTGGAGTAGCAGCTGCATCAGGAGGAGGATGATAAGACCAGGGCAAGAGGAGAGAGGGGGGGGGCACCCTCCACACTTACCATGACAACTTGACAAACTGTTACTGAGGCAATAGGATTACGCAACGATGCTTCTCATGATCAGAGCTCATCCCTGCGATGGTATGGAATAAACAGATGCCTGTCTTCCTTCCTATAGACGGGAAGCTCCCCAATTCTTCAGCAAAAACGTTCTGCTCATAACGAATTCATGTTTGACTGTGAGGGGGAGAGAGGTGGCGGGAGGACACCGCCGGTTAGCGTCACAGAGCGAAGAGGTGGAGCCGCAGAGTAAAGAAGTTCAATTAAATGAAAGGTCAAAGCTAATGAAGCTTCATAGTGGCTAATGGCTTGCACTTACAACACCAACGTCGAGGCCAGCGAGGTCCGGAGCTGCCCGACGAGCGGAGGCGTCCGCCCAGCAGCACCCTCGTAATGGAGTGCCTTGACATTTAACGTTATGTTCTAATTCATTATCTGTTTATCTATTAACTTCCATTCTGTGTCATTCAGTCTAATGAGTTGAATGTTCATCATGTGCCAGTTAAGGAACTCTTTTCATGTTGACAGTGACTGGATTTATTGTTCAGAAAGTTGCAGAAAAATGTTAAATACGAGATTTGTTCAGAAATGTTTAATCTTGTAGAAGGTGTCAGCCATGTGACCAGTTCTGTGTCTGAGGCCAACAGAACTTTGGTTGATGGTGTGAAACCAGTTGAGAACATTAACACTCCCGAAAATGAAAAACCTTTGAATTTTGGAAGCGCTGAAACAATTGGTGAATTAAAAAAATGTATTGATGAAGTCATTTACCTCACATATAATATATATAAATGCCACACATTATCTGAATAAAGCTTCTTAGATGTGTGGATTTAAAATATGTTCATTTGAAACACATTTTTTGATCATGGCCACCCTCTTAAACATCCAAGAATCCATCAGCAAGCTAAACTTTGGTTACCTGTGCATAAGTATTAAATCACCTACCCGGTCCAGTGTTGACAGCTTATGAGGGAGATTATTGAGCAAGAGTCTGCAGCTTTCTCACACTGTGATTAAGTACAGTGCACTCACCCTAAACCTGTCTTTCATGTTGACTTCACTTAGTTTCTTCTTACTTTAACCAGAATGCCTTTTGACTTCTACTGTACTTAATTCAGCTGTGTGCTTTTCCTTGCCTGGATCGATAGTGATGGCAGAAGCAAGAGAGGCAGTTTGTACGGTCAACAAGGGGTAAACTTCTTACTTAACAAGTACAATTTCTTAAAGCTGTGCTGCATTGAGTACTGTCGGTAGAAAAACTGGTACTTCTGTTTTTCTTTTTCAATATTTTCTGTGCTGAAAATGGAGAGTCTACAAAGAAGCCCTTCATCTGGGATCCTGAGGGACTGACACAAAGACCTGATGTTTAACATTGATGTTTTAATTCCTCTGTAACTGCGCTGGCAAAAATATCAACATATGTCATGGGGGTCAACACAACAGGCAAAGAAATGAAATATGTATGGCCAATAGAAATATTCGGACGGTGCTAAAGTGGTAAAGAGTGGATTTCTTAAGATGGTTTCAGTTCCCATTACAAGGGTTTTATGTTCATTACATAATAGTTCAGGTGAACGGCGTCCTACTTACCAGTAGAGGTACGGCTTGTCTTTATCCACATTGATGTTGTTGAGTGGATCCTGTCTGAACCAGGTGTTGATAGTGAACCCGTTCTGGTAAGGCCATTTGGCAATTGGCGGCAATGCTATGGCCTGGGGGAGGAGCATAAACACTTCAGTTCAGCTCTTGCCAATGTTTATAGCAATCAATAAACCACTCAGTTAGTCATTACTTCACATTTCACCGTTCAACTCCTTGCCCTGGTGAAGCAAAGTGCCAATTAAGATTTTCTGACTGACTGCAACAAAGGATGCCATGAAGGGCTCTTTAGCAATTTGGGTGCATAAAAGAATCAATTTGACATATTTTTGATAATGACGCTCAGGTGTCTGTGTTTGTATATCAGTCTCACCGCTGCACTGCGTCCTGGGAAGTTGAAGAAGGTATCAGGACCATGTCTCTGAGGCATCTGGTTCAACACCGACAAGAGCTTGATAGCATGTCTTGGCTGGAAGAGAGGAGAGGAGAGGAGAGGAGAGAGTGTACATATTATGTGCCATCTGAGGAAACTATCACAGGGAGATTCTGTGTGACATCACATCTCTACCACAACCCCACTGGATCAATAACTCTTCAATCACGTCCGCCCTCTCTGGACAACATCTCATCAATACCATGGCAACCCTTAATCGATCTGTCTCCAGAGACGGAGGCTGCTGGGAGCGGAGGAATCGGAAAAGACTGGGAAATAGGAGCGAGGTGGATGGGAGGGGGGAAGGAGGGGGGTTAGTAGACAGAGGAGGTACAGAGAGAGAGCTGAAGGGATGGATGATGGGCTTGCTATGGACCACTGATCAGTGACCAGGGGTTGTTGATTGTGGTTGTCCTGGAGTCTGAGCAGAGGGGAGATTGACGAGAAGGGACCGAGGGTGTTATTGAAGTGGACACCAGCAGCTGCCGAGGCATCGCACAGCCAGGACACTAACCCAACAAGAGAGCGGATTTACAGAACCGTCCCAAATGTCCACAGTTTGGTTTAAAAACATCACCTAAACCCTGTGACTGGCCAATCAGCAAACTACGGGGAGCAGTTGGGATGACAACAGCAAGTAGCACTGTTAGTGGAATTTGTACTCAGCGCTCCTGGCGGTCAACTCCTGAATTAATCTCATCAAGAGGTAGTTAAAGTAAACCTGACAGTGTAGGTTTAAAAAGTAAAATCAGCACCTGCAAGGCCTATTTCTCTCCATTTGTGAGGAATAATTTAGGCAAAAATTCTACAATTAACAGTGTAAAGTTGGGTATTTCCAGGATGAAAGCTTGAAGCAGGTGTAAGAGTGGTTCATGAGGTTTAAGTGAGGGAGAAAACGTATGAATTAAAAGCCTGACAGAGGGGAAGAAGAGAGAAAATGAGCCCTTGAGCAAAGCATTTACTGCTGTGGAGCTGCTTGGATGTTAGTAATAGAAGATGGTGGTTATATAGAGTGAATAATGGGCAGGATGTTGCTTAAGAAATGAGAAGCTTCCCAAAGGGACTCACCTGGAGAAAAACAATACTGAATTCATGGTTTCACCTTCACCGCTGATTAGCCTGCTAGTTTTTTTTTTATCTTGGTTCGATCACTCAAACAAAAACAGCACACTCAAACCTCTGTTGCATTAATAACATTGATTACAAGAAGGGAAAGAAAAGTTAAACGTGAGCTAAATTGCCCTTGTCTTGACATACACTCCCAAATGAATCCAGACATACACGGATAGATACACACCCGTCCTCTATTATTCTTGTCTATTAGCACAACCATCCCATTAAGTGACACCCAGACTAATGACATACAAACAAGCTCATACTGTACAATTAATCTAGTATGAAATAAATGTAGCTTCCCAGACGATTAATTGTGGAATACTGGCTTATCAGAAAAAGTGAAATGTGCTTTTTGCAGCAAATAGACAATATGAAATCCTGAATCTCTTTTGATTTTAAAAACAATTAAAAACATTAAACACATACACAGATATATGTATACAATAATCATTGATTTGGGCATTTTTTCTGAATTAATCTGCATTGAAATGTTGCTTTTACTTTGACTACAAAATATGGCAATGGGGTAAGGTCACTTATATAAATACATAAAATATAATGATGACTTTTTTCCACTATTTTACAATGTTTATCTTCAATGTTACTGTATAATAACAACAACAACAATAAACTGATAAGCACACACAACCTAAAAGTCTTTTAAATGTCCACCAACTTACCCAGATGCCGTTGTCTCCCCTCAGCATACTGAAGAGCAGCTTCAGCTCCTTCACTGTGATGCTGTAGCTGGCCATGACTCCCAGCATGTCCACCAGGAGGTCTGAGGACACACAGACAGAGAGGCAGAGAGTGAGCGCAGGAGAGCAGAAACAACCAGAATATCTGTGTGTGTGTGTGTGTGTGTGTGTGTGTTCTTTTGAGTGAGTCAGCCCTCGTCCGTCACTTCTCTGATAAAATAAGGTGAGGTCATTAATGCCTGCAGTCAAAATGCAATCTCGTGTTCAAAGTACTCAGAGCCCCTCCGCTGTAAACAAAATACAAGCAACCTCGAATCTGGAGCAGAGTTGCTGTTCACAGCAGTACTAAATACCTTGAATGTGTACATCACAATGTCAATTCTTGTTGCGTTTTTTCTACATTGATTTTAATACTTCAGGTAATATAAGGCCAAACACACTTGACAGTTAAGTACCCCCAGCTACTGTAGGTAAACAAAGCTAAAACCAACAAGTTTAGTATGAGCCCTACGTATCTACATAGGTAGCAGATACTCATCATTGAGTCCGCCATGTTGCACCGCCATGTTTCTACAGTAGCCCAGAACGGACAAACCAAACACCGTCTCCAGAGAGGGCCTTTGCGTTTTTACGTTACCTGAAGGCCACCGTAGGTTCTAAATATAAAGGTACACTAGCAAGTGATTAGCTTAGCTTAGGAATAGGACTGGAAGCCAGGGAAAATGTAAAATAAAAATAAAAAATTGGCTTACCAGTGACTCCCCCCCCCCCCCCCCCCTGCTTCTAGTCTTAATGGGAAGCTAAGCTAATCTGCTGCTGGCTTTAGCTTCATATTCCTCAATTAAGAATTGTATCACTCTTCTCATCTAACTCTTGCCAAGAAAGCAAATAAGTCTATTTAACAACCGACAATGACTCGATGTCATAAAATTGACAAAAACTAGTTTTCAAAAGTCAAAAGTTTTTCCCCTAATCCTCATAATTAAAAAGTACATTGTGTTAAAAAGACATTTGTTTAGTCAAAATGACCTGACTGCCTCATTGACTTTCACTTTACACAGCCACAACAGATCAGTGTGATATGGCTACACAGCGCGGTCCTCTCACAGCGAGGCAATCTGCTTACAGAGGCTCTTCTTTCCCATTAGGCCTGCTGGATATGAATAGAGTCCTCCCACAGTATTTCATTAGCCAGAGCCCAGCGACAGGGAATAAAGCACAAGGCTAGCTCACTGAGGTGCTTGGTGTGAGAGGAAAAACGCAATGCACAATGTCCTAGATTCAAAACCCCTAAGCTCCGTTTTTGGTACGATCAATCCAATGTAGGGCATTTTAAATAGCTTTTAAAAAGTGTTAGAATCACGGTTCAGAAGGGGAGTCTGCGAGAATTGGCATTAAATCGACTTAAGCGGCATGTGCTCTGGTGTGGTGAGCAGTAATAAGTCATAGAAGGTATAAAGCACATTATCCTGCAGCGGTTGGTAGGACAAAGAGGACACCATGGAGGAGGGAAGGAGAGGACACGCACTCCAAGGAATCATTAAAGGGAAGTCGAGGTCAATATGATCATGTAAAAAGACGGCCGTGTACGTGCTGTTTTGCAATATAGCCTTCCGTACGAATCGCAGCACATGCGGAGATATACTGGGGTCATAACTCTGCTTCTGCAGCACCAGCGGCTTTTTATGGATGTCTGACTGCAGGGCAAACAAACACTCACACATTCAATAGTTCTGTTATGAAGGAAAAGAGTGAAAAGAAAGCTTCAAATATTGACTATGGACTTTGGAGAAAAAAAAAGTAACCGTGAACGTTTTTCTTATCCACAAGGATAAATGGTCAAAAGTAAATAAAGCAAACGCTTCTTCCACTAGTTTGCACAAAGTTCAACAATAATACAATGTAGAAGAATTACTTAATAATAATTACTTCTCCACCAGAAACAGCTTTAATCTTCAGCTTCTGTCTCAAGACACGTGATGATTTCAACACCGTTGTAGTAAAACTGTGTTTGAAGTTTTACTTCAGATTTAATAATTTGTTAAAATACAGCACAAAATGATATTTTAAGAATAATGAATTAACATTTTACTGAAACTTAAGATATATCAAAATCAGAAAAGCTGTCTCCCAACGTGTGTGCGTTTGTCTTGCAGCCGGGTAGTAATGCAGGTCATCATCATTTCATATATTATTCAGGGAAATTGTACTACGATATTAAGATGATATTGTCTTATTCTTTGACCTTTTATCCAAATTAATGAAAAGGAAAGTGGAAATAATTTCACGTGTGGCTGTGTTCACATCTGCATTTCAACATATGACCCCTCCGTATCTTTTTCTGCCATTGTGCGTTCACTGTCTTTACCTAAATGCTCACAAATGGACGGCTGGCTCACCTGCTATCATGTCGTCCACAGTGCTCATCTTGAGCAGCACCTGCTGTATGAGGCCGACCTCGGTGCTGGTCTGCAGGTTGCGCACGCTCTTGCGGAGGATGGCGGTGAACATGCTCCAGATCTCGGCCTGGCACGTCACCTCGCAGTGGGACAGCAACTCCACCATGCAGCCGATGCTCTCCGCCTCCTGGATGATGAAGTTCATCTCCAGGTCAAACTCGCCGCCCACCAGCTGGAGGAGGGTAAAGGGAGAGGGGGAAGGAGGAGGAGGAGGATGGAGAAGACAGGAAGGGGAGGAGGGGAAATGGTTTGGGAGGCAGGAAAAGGGCCAGTGTTGGGATGGAGGGAAGGAAAAACAAGGGGTGGTGAAGAAAGTGGGAGGAGAGAGAGAAAGAAATGATTTAGTGAAGCATTTAACCTTTTGTCTGTAGCAGAGGTAAGCCCGGCATCTGATGGATGCTGATTACGGGTTAGGGAAGCATTCTTCTGCCGGGGGGGGGGCACATACAGCAACAAATAAATGTCCTTCATCTGACCATACGCACATGTACACACAGCACATCTCCTCTGCTCTCTCTTTAATGTGAGGAGCACAGCACTCTCCTCTGCGAACTGCAATCACTCTCAAAATACAGCAGGCATAAAATTGGCCCCCCCTTCTACCGCCTCAGATCCACACCATGCGGGCAAACACGGACACTGACTAACACACATTTCGGCTTGTGTCCTCTCAGACAGCATTAGTCAGAGGACATCATCATTTTGGAAAATCGAGTGCAAATGTCCCGTCTCTTAATGGCTGAAATTACTTGTGAAATTACAGCCGTCATATCGCTAAGCCTCACAAAACGTACACACACACACACACACACACACACACACACACACACTTGCACGACGTGAACACAAAGCGTAATACCCACGCAGCTCATCCTCAGCACACCACGCGACCCAGGAAGTGGTCACCATGGCAACCACCGAGCCAAGCGACCAAACATTAAGGTTATTAAATCTGACGGAAGAGTAAACACGCAACAGGTTATGAGCAGACGAAGAGATTACGAGCAGAAACAAAAGACATTAGTCGGACTGTGACACAGGCAGTGAGGATGAGAGTGATGGATAACTCAAGTACAGCCAGTATGTTTCACAAGGAGACGAAGGAGAGAGCGGTCTCCTGATATCTGAAGGGAACGAGAGGACGAGTGGTGTCGGTGCTGCCAGTGATATATGAAAACTGAAGCTTCACTGTTTTCAACAAAGGGTTAATTCTTCATAATTAATTCCGCGTGTGACTAAACAACAAAATAAAGTCCAACTAGAGCTGGGAGTTCATTGAATGTTGTCTTTTCACTCTCAGTTGACCCGCATCTTGAGGAGATGAGGAGATGCTTTTGTTGACAACTGGGCAAAACTCCGTCCGCTGACAGTGATCGTTGGACGGTGGTTGAAAGCTTAGTAAGCTTAGTAAACGTTGTGAACATGAGTTTATGGTCTCAGTCGCTAGTTTCAAGTCTTCTTCAATACAGCGTGATGTTCATTTTGTGAAATATGGTTCAATTTAGAGTAAAGTAGACCATAAAGCAGGGTGTGCTTTAGGGCGGGGCTTCAGCGTGTTTTCAGTTCATGAAAGTTAATTGTTATTCAGCATTCGGCTGTATTTAGCTCCGCCCTCTCATGTCACCTTTGCAAAAAAAAAAAAACAAGATGGCTACCGACAAAATACCTAATTCTAGGCATCAACACCGTAGCCCACAAACCAATGGGTGACGTCTCTGTGACTACGTCGTATTCATATATACAGTCTATGGTTTTATGTGACTTAGATCTGACATTTCTGTAAAAGTTTGAGCTGTATTAGGATGGAAACGTGTCTTGCTTTAAAGAAACTGACCCCTAACCCGGATGCTTGTTGGAGCACCTTGCAAGAGAACAAAGAAAATTCAAGAGCAAATGCTGGTGTCTTTGATAGTGTCATATACAATAGTATTGACATAAAATTGAACCTTATGGCTGCAGCAATCATTAGCAAACACCGGCATTTATCACATGCTGGCCTATCGACAGACTCGGCCTCAGCCCCAGTGAGACTTAAAGTTTAATGGTTAAAGCCTCGTGGGTCGGCGTTAAGTTTACCTCGTGTCACCCTGTGATTGATCAGGTGTTAGACTTGTATTAAAAGTGTACAATCTCCATATTCTTCTACCAGCTCCTCATCCCTTTCCCTCCCCTCTCTCTCTCTCTCTCTCTCTCTCTCTCTCTCTCTCTCAGTGAAGTGAATTGATCCAGTGCACTCTAGCACAGATTAGAGAGGACCTCTGAACAAGGCATGGAATAAAAGGGGGAAGAATTAATTCATCCCCGCATCGAATTTTCCCCCTCTCCTCTGAGGTTCCCAATTACAGAGCCCGCTGGGGACCGCTGCGTCCTACAACATCTCTATAAGCAGTCGGAAGGTGCTCACTATACCACGCAGAGCAGAGGAAGCTTGAGGAGAGAGAGAGAGAGAGAGAGAGAGAGAGAGAGAGAGAGAGAGAGAGGGTATTCTTTGGAGAAACTAGCAGATACGCAGCGACTTCCAACGCGGGAACACACACATCCCCAGGACATACCTACACATGTACAGCACAGGCACAATCTCTCTTAGTTCACACTTGTTACCCGTGTGCAGAACATCACAGCAAGATGAGAGGGGTGATGCAAACGACAGCAACAAATTGGGTCTCATGACCAACGATACGGAGGGGAAAAAAAAGGAGGGCAAGTGCCAGGAACACACGGGGGGGAGGCAGGAAAAGAAGGAAGTGCCCGGATAATTATTATCTCTCTTCCAACAGAAACAATATCTGGAAAGGCAACTAAAGCCTGGGCGGCACTGCCAAGGAGAGCCTCCTGGACCGAGAACGTCAGGTGAGCAGCCTTGAAGAGGAAAGGACAGTGAGACAGAAAGAGCTGAAATAAAGAAAGGATGTGGGGGGGAAATAGTCTCCGATATGAAAACGCTCCATCAAATAGATGTTCTCCATTTTAAGTGGCTTCCATAAAAATGATGGAGCATTTCCGCGACCCATTATTGGCTCGAGTAGGGCTTTTAATCGATGTATAAACAAACATGCTGACTAGATGGCAGTAAGGTTGATCATGAGCAGCTTGAGCACACTTGAGCGCACTCGAGCGGCGCCATCATTGCCGCTCTGCACACGGACAAAAGATTACTAATTACTTTTACGAGGGAACATGCTTGTTTTGCATAAACAGTCGCAACCTTCCGATCTCCTCCTTCACCCTAAACCCCCGTGTGTCCACGATGTCGGTTCCCATCCCTCGTCTTTGCGTCAGCGGGGCCCCACTGGAGGGAAAAAAAATAAAAAAAACGCACAAAAGGGACGAGCAATCACATCAATGAGCACGCACAAGAGGCCTTTACGCCCGCGACACGTACCCTGGTGGGTAAAGGACACACACACTTAAACAGGGCCCCACATTATGCCACTCGCCTTAGGATAAAGGGGCTTGGCAGTACAACCCCCCCCTCGCCTCTGAGGCAATGTGAGCACTGACCTCACTGTCTGCTTGGCAAGTGGTTGAAGACATTTGTTTTGGCAGCACTATGACAATGATTGCTCCCCAAGTGCCGCTCATGTCTGTATGTTCTATTCCTTAAAAATTAAAAAACAGCAAGGAAACGAGCGGGTGAGAACCTGTCGTGACAACTTCTTTTCCCACAATCGATATTCCTCTTGGTTTTTATGAACATTTGACAGGTTCACACTCATGTGCTGATGCATATGAATGCGTGTCTGCATGTTATATGCCTCCTGTACGTAGAATATTCAGCTGTGCTCACACTGGAAATAAACAAAATTCAAGACTGCATAATATTGAATTTAATATCCCCCTTGTGTTGTGACGAGACAGAAATCAGTATTTCTTGCTTCAGAGCATCAAGTGTAGTCATGATTGACCTGAAAACACCGTCAGTAACAGCCTGAAATGTAAGAATATCTTCCACTGGATTCATTCACTGACTAATCTACTTGTATTGTCTAGTGGGCATTGTGGTTACTATGAAGTCATTCGATTTCTTACTTCGTGTACTCGCACACTTATTTGTTACCTTTCCTCGCTGTGATTTCTAATTCTGACCAGCTTTGCAGTGCTGCTCATTCAGACCCGGGAGGAAGCTGGCAGTAAGCTCGGCATCACTGGCTGGTTTTCATACCACAAAGAGCTTATATGAGCAGGCACCTCGACCTGCCAAAACCAGCTCTCGTAAGAGGTCGGTACAACAAACACTCCCTCTGTGCATCCGACTCTTTTCTCACCAGCCACGCTGCTCAGAAACAGTTCCTTTTCCCCTGAAGACATTCCGACATGTCACAGGAGGAGAGGCACAGGCGCAAATAAATAAAAATGAATGATGGCTGGATTTCCACTGAGCCGCTTCAGTGCCAGGTTCCCGGTGTTGTGCATGTTGGCTCCCTGTCACACTGTCACGGCTTACTGGGGCACTTGAATAGACACCTGCGTCAAGTCAAAATATCTGCTGTTGTTGTCCCAAAAAGTCTTGATACCTTAACAACAACATAGGTTATTTGTCATGACCGTAAAAAAAAAAAAAGGAGTGTGTGATTTATAATCTGCCGCCTAAACTGTGGTTAAACCTGCAATAACCTGCAATAGCTGGCAAACAGTTGCTTATTTACACATCCAGCGGTTACATACGGAGTCATGCTTGTCTCTACTGACCCCTGAGGGAAATATCCGCCTCTTTAGCTGCTAAATGCTCCACTACGTCCACAACGCCACGAGAGCGGTCAGAGTGAGTCAAAGCCGGACAGCTAAACAATGAGCTGACCCTCCACTCTTACCTTCTTTGTTGCTGCTATGCTAAAGCAATGTCACAGTACTTACGCCTCTGCTTTTGTGAGACAACAGTGATTATTTGAGAGATAAGACACTTTTAGTGGTTTGTTAAACCACAAGAGCTCACAACCATTGCTGACATTGTTTCTTGTGAGGACATTCTCTGTTATCACTGGGACTGTTAGAAATGAGCATTCACTTCCTTCGAGTTTGCCCGTGCTAAACATATATAGCCATCCAGACGTTACATGTTTACTACTTATTTTCGCACCAGAAAAGGGGTAGCCTAACTTGTAAAGGTACACAAATATTTTAAACCTTAAAATATCTTCTCCTTTGATGGTTTGGCATGATTCAGTGTGACAA